AAAATATTTTATTTGAAATGAATTTTTGATATTTTGATGAGTGAGTTTAGAACTTTCAAAATAATTTATTCTGTGATGATTTTGAGAAAGAGAAAAGGTGTCATTTTTTTTATATTTTAAAGTGAAAGGAAAAACTTAGTAATAATACGAGATATTAAAGTTTTAGAGTAAATATCATGGGACTAAAAGCACATATTGTTTACAACAGATGAATTAAAAGTACAATTATTATGTTTTCTTTAAGTTCAAATCTAAACAACACTAAAACAACTTGATACAAAGGTGTAGGTTAGTCCTAATGCTATAAGTTTCAGCCCTCAATCTGAAACTTTTCTCTCTTTAAAAATGGCAGGACAACGAGAAAGGGTTAATTTTCATAAACTCACAAGGACCCCCCACATTCGTTTGAATAGAAAGTGGAAAAAAAGACATTAAAATAATACCTTCAGGAGTTGAGAATGAATTGGTCAAAGTAATTGCCATTATTTTGATTGAGCTGCACAAAAGAAAACTTGAATGCATCTTTCAAGGTCAGCTCAATTTCAGTGCGTGCCACCATCTCTATCTACCCCGGTTCCCATGGTCAGCACTCAAAAGGGAAAGTCCAGATGCAGATGCATGTTGCGGTGAGCACCATTGACCTGGTGGTTTTTACGTGATTATAATATGTTATATTGATGCATATTTTAATACATAACTTCTTATCATGCAATCTTGCACAGAAAAATCTTAGTTTACATTTGATTATCTTTTTTACATATCGAATCTTACGTTGTTTGAGGGAATAATGGAGAACATTCAAAATTTCAAATCTTATAAAAATGTCCTTGCTTTTGAGTATGTACAGTCAAAGTCCCTTGTTTTTCCTCTGTTGAATTGGTGTGTTCGGAAGTGGAAAGATTTATATCTGTATCTAATAAAATAAAATAAAAATTGCGGACTTATACGTTGCAATATTATTGTCGAGATGTATAAAATAACTAGAATCAAACTCGTACGCCATTAATAATTCGATGTTTGATAAAATCTTATTCATAACATTTTCAATTGTTTGATGTTTGATCAAATATCTCTAGTTCTCTACAGTGACGCTAACCTTTGCGTCAATAAAATTATAATTTGCAGGATGAGGTGATCCTTATTAATGACATCGATCTAACTTTGTTTACACATTCAACGGCCTTGAATCTCCACATAAAATTTAAGTTCAAACATTTGAATTCAAGAGAAGAAAGACACGAACAAGGGAAGGTCATTTTCAACACATGATAAATAATTAGCTTCGATTTTTTTTACCCTTTAAGTTCGTACCTTTGTATTTTGTGTGATTTTGCTCCCTCTTTTTAAAAAACCCGTGACCAAGTCTAAAATCTAAATAAACACAACACACGCTGGAATTTGAGAGTCAAATTAATTTGGGTTTGTTGAAATAAACAATTACAAAAACTGTAGGTATTTGTAAACTTTGCTTATATTGCTGTTTGAGATAAATAAAAATTATCTCAAGTTATAATAGTTTTTCACTTGCAATGAGGTTCTCAAGTTGATTAAAATTTGTCTCGGTTATTGTGGTCAAAGAATATAAAGTGAACATTTATTGTCTCTTCTTTAAAAACAATGTATATGTTGTGATGATATATTGTGATTGTTGTTTATGAACTAACTTTGATGACTAGAACTTGTATAACATGATTTTTTAAAATGTTTTTACTTTTTAACAAGTTTTTATAATTTTATGATAGTTTAATTGTTGATTTATAGTTGAAAAGAAAGTGACTTTTTTTAATATTTTTTCATAAAAACATGATAACTAAAGAAATATAAAGTTTTAGACAGAGTGAAAGGATACAAAATTTTAGTCAATAAAAAATATTATTGACTAGTTTTTATAAGAAACTTGAGACTAAGAAATCAATAAGTTTTTAATAAGTTAATGAATGATTTATAAATAAAATTATAAAATATAAAAATATTAAAAACTGATAAAATATATTTCGAGACGTTGTCAACAATCATTAATTAAGATAAAAAAAAAATGGTAAAAGTAAACATTAGGAATCACATTTGACTTAAAAATAGAATTAAGAATCAATTGTAAATCAAATTGTATTTAACTCAGCCTATTTTCTTTCTTGGACAAAACTTACAGAGAAGTGATATGAGTCGATTGTCGTCTAACTGCTGGAGTATTTACCTATGTCTAGTTGACCAATAAATTAAAAAGTCTAAACTAAACTAAGAAAATTTAGGTGAATAATTATGTTAAATGTTTTTAATTATAATAGTCCTGAATATTTTTTAAAAATAATAGATACCATTTAAAAAAAGAAATTATTAATTAGACGAAAATATAATAATACAATGATTTTCTTTCAAACTTTTAATTGCTTAAAACCGGTCTTAAAAAATGATGTTAAGAGAATTGCATGTTAAATATGACAAAATTTGATGAATTTTAGGGTTTAGGGTTTATAAGTGAAAAATGACACTTCTATTCCTGTCTTGGAGAGCTCAATTTATTATGCTGCTGCAGCTGTTGAATGTTTTAACACGATTACCTTGTTTGGTTATTGGACAGAGTCTTTTTTTATTTTGCTATTGGTTCGACCTTTTTGGGTCAAACTGTTGGTTGGGCTTAATCGCCGAAGATTTCTTCTTCTCCGACATTAGGCCCATCATTTCTTTAGATAAACAAAAACAATAAAAACAAAACAAATAGACACGTTGGTTAAAAATTTTAAACTGATAGTACTTCAAAATATTTTTTCATTGAAAAATAATATTTAATATTCAAATTTTTCAATAATTGCATTAATTAATAAATGAAAATTATTATATTTTTTAGATATTAAATTTTTTACTTAATACCTTAATAATTTATTTTAAAATTTATTAAGATGACACTGCAAAACTCTCTTTTTAGTCATTTTTTAATCTTTTTCAAAACTTTTCAATTTTTAAAAATATTATATATTGTTTTGGATAATAACAGATCAAATAACGATTTTTTGTTTAAATTTTAATGTAACAAATTTACAATCGGAGGCCCAAATCGATACAACAATTCTCAACAGATTAAATTGATATTCCAACGCTTCGTTAGGGTAAAAATAAAGTTTACTTAATTTTTTATCCTGCATGTTTCCTTAATCTTCATATAAAAACTAAGAGAGAAGTAGGGTAAAACACAGTTTGAAAGATTTATAGTTTGTCGTATTTGTATGTAAAATATGGAAATCATCATTTTTCATTCTTAAAGGATAAAAATATTATTGAAGTTATAGCATGTATTCTACATCTTAAATTTGGAGGAATATTAACTTATTTTTAATTTTTTAAATAAATATCTTGTTGACCTAAATACATATTCCTTTTTAGAGACTAAAAAATACTCAGTTTTTTTATTTTAATTAAATGATCAAATATGTACGGAATTGATGTAAGAAGGATTAATTTGCTAAAAATTTAAATACAAAGAATGATAATATATTTTTTCTGTGATATTAATATGAACAATATCAAATCCTTTAAAATAAAAAAGTGTTTCATTAAAGAGAAAACATAATTGTAAAAATAATTGTGAACTAATTCGTACGCAATCCGCATCCTGGCACTGCTTTATGGATTCGTGAATGTTGGCATTGGCAATCATTCATGGATGCCACTAATCTGAGGTTGTGTTATTTTTTGTCCTTATATTGGCACGACATGTGTCTTAGATCGTGTTATCTCGTGCCCGTGTCCCATATACTAAGATTTTTCATACACGGATGTGATGGATAATTTATATAAACAACTATTTATAAGGATACAAAATTAAAACTTGGGCAACACAACCATTTTTTAAGAAGATTTTAGTTTTACACATAGAAAGAATTCCATTTCGATGAGATTTAAGTATATTTTATTTTAAAAAGTCACCATTTAATTCGAGGTCGTCAATTTCTTTAAAATTCGGAGTTCTTAAATAATTACATTTTTCAAAATTAACCATAACTCAATTCAAGAAAACAGGCACATTAAAAAGGTTCAAAGACTAGTTAATTGAAAATAATCACGTTTGAATATAAACAAAAAAGAATCACGTTTATTATATGGAAAAAGGTGGGGTTGGTTTCAATTACACAATAAAGACCACGAAGTACATGAAAAAAACTTTGTTAAGTATATGTAACATCATTGATTAAACATGATAAATAAATTAAGAAATTATTCAATACAATTTATTTCTAGCTCGAAACTTGTAAAAATAAGTAACTATTTTTGAAATTTACATTTCTAACCATATCTAAACTTGACCAATCAAGGACGGCGATCTCTTATCACAACACAATGTCTGTACCATATCAGCTGAGTGGACGATCAAAATACAACGATGCAATTTGCTTGGCTACATGAGAAAATTTCGTAATCTCACTGTCAGCATATAAACCTAATTATTCTAAATATTATTTGCGTAGATTATTGATCCTTCTACAAAATTCTAGCGATTAATGAACGATGAATCACAAATTGAAGACAAGTCGCTGGATTAGAAAAGTGCGTTGGGACAGAACGAAACAATCGACATTGATTAGGAGATGAGAAGCACATTATAACCAGAAAGATATAGCATGAACATTGATTACGAGATGAGAGTAGCATCCCAACAAGAAAAAAGAATAGAACCCTGCACTGCACGTCTAATTCAAGGGATGTTTTGCTTTCACTTCATTTCGAACCAAAAAATCTTAAAATCCAGAGTGTGTCTTTCAGCGAGTCAAAAGCATTCTCGAGTTACGCGTGTGAGGTAGAGGGACCTCCCTGGCGCCACAATCCCAACCAAAGTGTAAACCCCAACTCTCGCTCTCCATCTTGCAATCGAATCATAAACCGCCACGTAGCAAATAAGTACATGTGAATCCAGATGTACGTCTGTGATTGAAAGGTACAAAACAAATTTTCAGATCTGAGCGCAGAGTATCAGTGTAATTCATTCACATTTCACCACCCCCAACAAGAGCACCCGTTTCATTTATTCCTCTTTCAAATTTGGGCACCGCTTAACTTTAGATCTAAAACTCAGAGCCCAAACCAGAACTTCTCTATCAACAATGCCTCCCACTGACGGAGACTTGGATCTTAGGGTAAAACTCAATGAATCCCTATTCATTTTCTTCTTCCTCTCTATTTCGTTAACTCTCTCTCTTTTTCTTCACAGCCGTCTTCTCAGTCTCCCTTCACAATCGGGTTAGTTAGTTTGTTCGTTAACGCTATCGTTTTCAATTCTCTATTTGCCTCTGCATTTTCTTCCATTCGTAGGATTTTCTCTTTCTCGTGTTGAGTTTTGTTTGTTTCAGAGAGTACACGTTCGCCGATGTGGGGAATTTGGAGCATTGCGCCAAGTATTTGAACCAATCGCTCGTCACATTTGGCTTTCCGGCTTCTCTCGATCTCTTCGCAAATGATCCTGTGAGAATTTAACTGATATTCTTATTCTTTTTTGCGTGCATTGTCTTTTTGTTGTGTGATGGTGTTGTTTTCGAAAATGTGGTTCTGCTTTGGGTAGGTTTCCGTTGCGCGAACTTGCAATTGCATTTACTTCTTGCTTCAGCAGCGACAGCGTGATGTTGAGTTTAGAGAGTCTGCTAATGAACAAAGACAACGGTAGTTGATGGATGCAAACCTTCTATTGACGTTCTTCTCTAAGTGTCATGCGTTCTTTCCGTCTTACCGTGAGTGTTTTGGTTTTGATGTCGTAGATTGCTGTCTGACATATCGAGATTGGAGGCCAAGGTAGAGAGGCTTGAAGGGCAACTACAAGTCAAAGACAGGGAGATAGCAACGATTACTAGAACGGTGAGGGGATGCTTTGAAACCTGGTTTTGGCTAACGTAAAATGTATTATTATCTTGCTTTAACGGAAAGATCAAAAGTGTGTTTATTATGCAAGCATTCAACAATTTCCTTTTTTACAAGGCGATGTTACATGATTTGATTTATTTATTATTATTTTTTAATTGGGTTAAATTTCTTTGATAATGCTTATTGTCTAGGAAGCCAAAAACACTGCAGCTCTGAAGGGCCAAATTGATAAGCTGCAACAGGAGAGGGATGAATTTCAGAGAATGGTTATTGGTAATCAGGTTAGAAGCTGGATTTACTTTGCGCTTTGTGGCGTCTTGTTGGTTGTCCCTACTTCTAATTGGATAATCTCTGACTATGTAAATGGTGCCACAGCAAGTAAAGACTCAACAAATGCATGAGATGAAGAAGAAGGAAAAGGAATACATAAAGTTGCAGGTAGGATGTGTTTGGTTTTTCTTATTCAAATGAGAATGTTGTTTAGGATTTGGTGCTCTTACATGATAGGAACTTTACCTATGAATTATTGCATAAGTCCAAAAGGTGTTAGATTTGGAAATGAAGGGCTGGTATCTATTATCTATTATTTGCAGGAGAGGCTAAACCAAGTGTTGATGGAGAAGAAGAAAGAATCTAGGTCAGGCATGGAGATAATGAATTTGCTTCAGGTATCAACTATCCATGAAATTTGGACTTTGCTCAGAAGATATTCAGCTTCGTGATAATTTGGTATTCATCATGTGTGTAAACAGAAGGAAGGGAGGCAGCGTGGAACATGGAATGGGAAGAAAGCTGACAATGATTTTTATAAGAAGATTGTATGCTACTCGATAAGCTTTCACCCTCTCATTATAGCTCTTCATATTCTGGATATATCTTCATCTCTTACAAGTTATGTATAATATTGGAAGGTGGATGCTTATGAGGCAAAAAATCAAGAACTGATGGCAGAGAATACTGATTTAAGAGCACTATTGAGATCAATGCAGGTAGGTTCCTGATACTTAATTATTGTCACTTGGAGTAAGTTATGAATGCAACATCTGTTTCGGCTGCCCATGTTTCATTGATTCTCCTTGATGTGACTTTGGATCTTCCATTAACTTTTGCTTTGTTGTCATTCAGTCAATGTATGCTGTTTTTTTTTTTTTTTTCTCTTTCTCTGGGATTTCCTTTCTTCCCATGTGAATAATATCTTTATGTGTGTCACGTATACATGAATTGGTTCGCCACTTTCATTCAATTAACCTTTTTGTTATAAAAAAATTGTATGCTTTGGGTTTGGACATAAAGTCAACAATGTAAAAATTTTGATGTATTCTGGGAATAAATGATACAAAGTGAAAAATGATGTATGGTCATAGTAACTAAATGGGAACTGGGAGGAATGAAGGACAATAAGTTAGTCAATTTTGGTGGTATTGGTGGTTTTCAGCATATTTCTTCCCTTTTTTCATTTGCATTCCTGATGTGTATATCACCTAGGCTCCGTATTTCCCTCTACATAAAGGCTTTTATTCTGTGATGCCCCTCCCTCTAAATCAGGTTCCTTGACCTAGATTAAAGATTTTGTGAGTATACTGATTACAGGTGGATATGCGTGATTTCTTAAATGCTCCTAATGGACTACCAAAGCAATCTCTCACTAGTAATGAAAGAGTTGAAAGTGATCCTTCTCAATCTCCATTGGTTGGGAGAACGGTATGGAAGGTCATTAATTTTTCATACTTTGTCCAGTGTCAAGCATCCTCGTAAAATTAATGAGTTTGTTACTTGTAGGATGTATTTGACCTTCCTTTTCACATGGCCAGAGATCAAATAGAAGAAAGTCTTCGAACCAAGATGGCTTCAATAAAGGTAATTACTCATCCCTTATAAGTACCATTTTCCAGTTTGTGTTTGGTAAACCTTAGTTGTTAATGGCTTGAATGTTGAAATATGAAGGAGCGTATGGTTCAATTGCAAGATGCACAAAAAGGAGCAGAACTTACATCAGAGGCTACTGAGAGGGAACTTGAGCTTGAAGCTCAACTTGTTGAAGCAAGGAGCATCATACAGGAGCAGGTAATGCTTTGTTTTCTGACAATTGCAATTACAAGTTGGGTCCAAGGCATTTAGATTAGAGCCTGTTCGATTGTGCTGCAAATCAACAAAATCTGTTATTTAGTTAGAGAGGCTCTTCTTTTGATGTTTCATGGTGTTTGGCCAAAGTACAAACTGCTTTATAATGATAGCTGAAAAAAAAAACTGATGTTAAAGAAAAGCAAGAATTGGTGCTTCTTTCAGGAAGCAAAAGAAAAATTTCTCAGGAAAGGTAAAGCTAGTACTTCCCCAGGAAATGGAGGAAAAATAGAAAAGAATGGGAATATTACTGCCTTGTGTCTTTCTATCTATGCTAGGTCAATTAAAAATTCCTATCTAGGTACTCTAAAATTTCAATTGTTTATATGATGTTACTTTTATCTGTTTTTTCAAGCAACTCTAATTGTATACTCATGTATGGCTATGAATTTAAGCCTGTGTTGACTTTTTAATCCATGTTGCTTCACTTCTGTCTTTCTACAAATCCAAAGGCATTTTCTCAGTCCTCATATCATGCTTTTCAATCTAATTGCCTGGAAGTATTTTGCTAAGAACGGGTTTGTGTTAATTTGACTATGCATTTCAAATTTAAATAAGAGAATAATGTGATAATGTGTTGTATTGCAGGCATCAATAATGTCTAAACATCTAGCAAAATCTGACAGGCCAAGGTACTCTTAGTGTACTTTAGATTTGTTTGTCTAGTTATGTATAAATGCAGTAAGTTGAGTTGTGTTTTTTTCAATTTTACAGGGAATCTATCATCCCTGCACCGGCTGAGGTATGTATTCATGTGTCTGTTTGCCTTTTTTTTGTTTTAGGCTAGTATTTTGTCATGTAAATTTAGTAATCAACCTTGAGATTTTGAAGGCTTTTCATACTGTGAATGTGTGGTGGGTGGTTGATAAGTAGCTTCAGAGACTTGTTTGTAGTGAGGTATACTTTAATAGCTCATGAGCTTGTACAATTTAATTGACATGATAGGACCTGATGAAATGCAGGTTAGTTTCTCTACTTCTAGGGTGAGTTGATTATTTTTCGTAGTATCTGCGCATAAATGAACCTTTAATGCTGTGATTCTGAAAATTGTTCAAATGTTTTTGCGTGCTTAAAATCTACTGGTTTCCCTATTGTTGGAGTAACTCATTCAGCACCTTCTGAGATATTTGGTTTTGAAGCTAAAACTGATCTGTTGCCCAAAATTCTAAAGCTAAGGTGTTAGGACTGAGAATTATAGACATATAAACGATAGTAGAAAAAGGTTTTCTATTATACAGTTATACTTATTCCTCTATTGGTTGTAGAAGGGATCAAAATATTAGTGCTGGCATGTTCTGTGTGTCTGTGTAATGCTGATAGTGGTAGCTAGCAATTGTTGATCGAGAAAGGGAGGTGGTGATGATGACGATGGCATTTAGCATTAGCTATTTGTGTGGTCTCCATTGCTGATTGTTGTATTTGTTCAATACTTTCTTTCTCCCAATTAAATTGTTGATTAACGTGTGATTTTGGGATTCACTAATAAAGTTGAAATCTTTACCATGTATAATTGTTGTCGCCACTTTTAGCTGTCTGATTTATTGTTTCTTGCTTCTCAATCAGTCACATTGATGGTGCCTGTGTTGTGATAAGGTTCTTTCTTGATTTACAGGCAGTATGTAATTAAAAAAAGCTGAGAATACTCACATTTGATGCTTGGATGATCAATTGAGTTGGCTCTGTAGTGTCACATGCTTGGACATCATGCTTTTAGCCCGTGTTACTAACTAAAGTTGCTGGTCCATCCTGCACTGCCCTAGTTTATGTTAACAGCCCGAAGTATGGTCGGATATCATTGTAATTAGTATGATGTTGTAATTAGTGTTATTACACCCTGGGAACTGCTTCTAGAAGAAAAAATAGATACTATTTATGTCACATGGACCATTCATTCTACATAGCATTTAAGATTGACAGCTGGAATGGTTTTATAATACCACTGTCTGGCTCTTCCAAAATTTGTGTCTCATTTATAAGGCGGGAAATATACAGATCATATAAATTTATAGAAGAAAAGGTTGTAGTTTTCTAAATGAAATGCAGAGGGATTACTTGGGGACTAGTATTCTACAAAGTAACCGTCGGATCTTACATTAGTAACCCTTTCCCAGAGGGAGAATTAGAAGCTCTTTAAATGCCACGTAATTTTAATTTGGAAAGATAGGTGTTGTATTCATGGATAATTAATTTGCCAAACTGATTTAAATATGGAGGAACAACACCTAATTAATTTGTGGATAATTAATATAATGTGGTAAGTATTTGTTATTTGCACACATAGGAAGGGGAGAAGTGAATGGGAAATTTATACTTTTTCTGTATCTGAAAAAATGCTATAAATAGATTGAGAGAAGATAAGAAATTAATTTTGAGACAATAATTATTTTAAGGATATAAAGTTAGAAGAAAAAGAAATTAATTTTATCTTAAATTGTAAAATTTTATTATTATTATTATTTTTAAAGTTAGAAATACTATTTTTTTAAAGATGGAGAGTGTAATAATTTTTATTGTTTTTAAACGTGTTCAAGACACAGTGAGAAGTACAAAAAAATGTTTAATGTTTTAAATTACTATTAAGATGATAAATATCTTTATTTTTAATATATTTTTAAATTTCTTAACACGTATCTCTGAACATAAGAAATTTTTAAACAATTAACGGCTTAACATGTTATTGAGTCTGCATACCTTTATTTGAAAAATTAATATATTGCTTTATGTTTCAGGTGGTATTTCGTTTAAAAAAATCTCATTCTTAAATAAAGATCTTTTCTATTAGGAATGTCATCCTTAGCAGTAGGACTTGAGGAAATTTTTATAAAAACATATATTTACTTAATTTTTAGGTTTTTAAAAAATGTTTGCTGTCAATCATCATGAGAGTAATAATTTATAATTAATTATTTAAAAATTTATTCATAAATTAATAATTTAAATAAATTTTTGTTTTCGAAATATTGTTTTACTAAACATGAAAAAAAAAATACTTAATTCAATTTTTAAGAATGTTAAAAACATTCAACACCATCCTAAAAAGTAATGCCTCTTAATATACGTATAAATCTGACAATTGAAACTTTATATTTATAATGAATTTTATGTATTGCTTTGCATGAGTTTATTTATTCCAATGGATTTGGATAAATGACAGTTGTTTTTAAGTGTTGATGAGAGGTGGAATTTTGTAGAACTATGCAATTTATATATATACTTCTCTGCATGACTTTAATAATTCTAAGGGTCGCCAATGTTATTAGACCTATTTCAAATCTTTTTGTGTCAACAAACTTGCTCAGTGTTTTTTCCGGCATGTAGGCCCAAAGTACTATAAATGCGTCACAGGGCACGGACTTGGCCATTGAAAGGGCTAACTACAAAAAAGTGACTTGCTTTTTGAGAATGACGATGACGTTGATGGGTTGCAGGTGATCGTAACCACTAAACTGGGCCTACTAATGGTTATAAAGACACATTCTCCATTTCGTTCATGTTCTTTGTCCGGAAGATGGCCTTTGTTTTTTGTCCAGGGGAGGGGAAAGTGAAATTGTTTGGTGCCTCCTGAAAAAAATTGATTTTTGTTTTTTTCTTACTCACAATTCAATATATTTATTCATTAACTATTTAATTGTTAGATAGATAATAGAACGCCTGTGTGATCCATTTGGTTAAATGTGTGTTTATATTATATATAATTTGTAGTGCTAAAATACATTTACGTTTGAGCAGAATTACGTTAATCCAAATATACCATAAGTAGTCTAAAGTCTATTGATTAGCCACAGATCTTTAAGAAAAGTTCTTGAGCTCTGTAATGTTTAGATATATAAATGTGTATAAATATTGAACTATATTTTATAAAAATATATTATAAAAAACTATATAATATACTTTAAATAAATGAGTTAGATCCATGTCATATATAAAATTAGGGATAGTATTAACCTTGTTAAGTCTATTAGACTGGGCCATGTATTTAGGGAAGTCAATCATTATGCAGATAAATTGACTAAAATTAGTCTTTTACTTCTCTTTATGTGTTTAGATTGGTGTGGTGGTTGGAACCTTACGTCCATTGTCTCCTTTCTTAGCAATAAATAAATAAATAAATGAGTTAGATATTCTTTCATAAAATACGATTAATGGATGATTTTTTAATAAATAAATTATAGATGAATTGGATTATTTTAATAAATCAAGAATGGACTAATAATTTATCTTTTATCCGTTTATTATATACAATTTAAAATTTATTCAACTCGTTTAACGGATTAAATTGATTAACAAAAGTTGACCTGAAAGAGTGTTTCCCATGTTGTCCTCAAGCTCACGTCACAAAAAAAGAAGCAGCTCTAGTTTCATGCAATCAAGACTATTATTAAAACACATTTTACTAAAACTAAAAAAATATAACTTTTGTTGTATTAGGTTAAGAATTTCATGTCAGGTTTTATTAAAAATTTACTTTTGAGAGAATAACTTTGAAATATAAATCCATTTCACACTTAATTTTATATATCAACATCAATATAAAAAAAGTTAGCACAATTTCACCTATATATATACACTTTGTGCTAGCCATGAGAGAAGGGTCGCAATGACTATTTCCTGTATCATGACGACTAGCTTCAAAATACTCACGGCCAACTTAGCTATGATCTTTTTTCCGGAGGGGGATAATTTGATTATATCGAATAGACAGGTTTCTAATAAATAATCAAAACTTCTAAAATAAAATCCTTTCTCATAGATTAGAACTTCCACACTTAGCATCGTATATATTTAACAGTAATGTTACGGTTTCCATCTCATACCACTCTATCTCTAAGCTAAAAATATGGCCTGAATTTATATTTTGAAATCCAATCATGTAATACTCCCAGTATTCTTAAGGTGAATGAACGAATTTTTTACTTGCACCAACACATCAATTGCTATCGCATATCTTCACAACAGCTAAAGTGGCAGAGTACGTTAGAGAAGCTCCAATTAGATAAATTCGATTAGATATTGAAATTTTTACAAATGAAAAATAATGACTGCGGAGTGTGTGCGAATATAATTCTAATGTAAATATAAAAGCAGAACTAACTGCATATACAATGTTATTTCATTCACGCCTTGTAATTGACAAGAGAACTCTGCTAACATGCATGGGGAAGCAACGAAAGGTGAAGGGCCTTCCATATACTTCTCTGATAGGACTCTTCATGAATGACATAGACGATGAAGAAGAAAAACTTGAACCACGAGGGGATCCCATAGAGTCAGAATCAGAGCTGCAATCTAATCCTTCTAATATGTCCAAAGCAATAACATCTTCATGAAAACAATCTTGGGTCTTCTTGCTTTTTCCTTTTTTTACACTTTTCTTCCAAAACCAAAGCCTTGATCGGGTTGAAGCCTTGGAGTATGAAATGCATGGCTTGGGTAGGCCTTGGCTGAGAAGTGCTGGTGGTGGAGTGAGTGGAGGAAGCTCTTCTTTTGGCTGCTCCTTTGCAATCCCAGGTTGCATTTCCCATTTGAATGGAACCCCTTCCCCACTTCTATAGTAAGAGATACGAGAGGAGCATCCCACAGAGGATCTTCTTGAAAGAATCTTGCTCAATGACTTGTCGTTTTCATACTCAAAATCCATCATAGTAGTTTTTTTCCAACTAAGAGTTTTGGACGAGGTTGTAAAAGTTGCTTGTGTTTATATAAGGATTCAGCTATCTTGGTCCTTGCCTGAACGATTGAGTATTAGGTAATAGGTTTATATTTATACACATATATATATATAAACTGTTTTGACCATTAAAGAGTCATGCTCAATATTCTTGTTAGTTTGATTGATTATATATAGTTTCTTACTTCTAGTTTGAGTGACTTCAAGTCTTTTTTGTATTGACAAGGAAACATGTTGTAAATAAAATGGAAATATATATAGTGTTGTTTCTAAAGCTATGATAAATTAACCTATAATATTGTAAGTTGGCCGGCTTCTAATGCATGTGCCATGACCAAACCCGAAAGACTTGGCCTCCACCTTAGCTTCTTAGACAATATATATTGCTGCATTATTATTTTAATACATTATTATAGGAATTAAGGGCTTGGGATCGTTGAGTTGACCATATAGTCCTTGTGCTATATGTGAGGCAGGCAGGGCCACTCGGGGCATACATATTAGGGTTACAATTGTCAATGAGCCAAGGCTTTTCTGTTGAATTGATATATTATTTGTCTTCACGTACTGGGCAGCTTTGATTGGAAATTTGATAACTTTTCTCAACTGTGAAGAAAGCATAATCCATTACTTCAGGAATTACCTAAGGTTTCATTCATTGAATTTGAACGCATACAAACGCTACTAGCTACTTTTCATAATTGTATGAATGAAGTGGACTTCTGACAATTACTTATTTTTAATTATCTGCAATGTACCTTGTAATTTTATCATAGAGCAGTACACTAAATTTGTCTAAAAAGTTATAAGCATTGATCTTTAATCTCTAAAATTATAAATTATTAAATATTGATATTTTTGTTTCTTATCGTTAAAATTTTAAGACCCAATTTGGCCGTCATTCATAGTTGTTAAAATAACATTATTTTATAATTTTAAGAATTCAAATTATATTTTTATAATTTTAAAAAGTAAAATAATTAATATTCATAATTTTTAAAGACTAATATAACATGTTACTCCTTTCTTATAACTTCCGAGTATGATTTGGAAACAGTTAACCTAACTGCGAAAATTTGGCCCCCTATATACTAGTAGTTCAAGCATTCCATGCATGCCTTAAGAGACAAGGCAACTTTTTGTTCGCACCGACTTCAAGATAATTCTTTGTTACGATTAGACATCACTAATGCTAGACAATATAAAAAAAAAGACTCTAATTATAACTTAATTTTTTAAAATCTAAACATTGCTTGACTTGTTTAACAAAAAGAACAAGGTAGTATTTGTCTTGTTAAAAGAAAAAGTTATATCAAATATAAATTTTTACCAGCTTTTATAAAAAATTATATGGATATTTTTTATAAGGAAAAATATTTAAATTTGTTAATTTTAATAATTTTCCTTTTTTATTTTGATTCTCAAAATTTAAGGATACAATACAGAAATATTTATAATTTAAACGTAACCTTATAATTATAAAATACTAAAAGAATAAAAATTTTAATTTTAAAACTATTTTTCTAGTTAAAGTATCTGTCTAAAATACGTGTTTGGTTTATAATTATTTATTTGATTAACAAAAACCTTATTTATTTTACAAATGTATTAAAATTTTTGAAGCATGCATAATTAATTCAAATCAAATATAAATTGTTTAATTAAAACAGTAAATAATATATAAAATTAATCACCAAGAGTTTATTTTGCACTCATTATTACACCATTTTATTTTTATCCTTTAATTTACCGAGATATAAGTTAAATATGTTATATTCATTCTAAAACAAAAGACGACAAATTGAACAATGCTTAATGAGAACAAAAAACAAAATGGCGGGAATCCAATTATTATCATCATTTTGGTCCATAAAGAGGGAGAAAAAAAAAAACGGATTTATTCACATTAAAGCACAGCAAACTGTGAAAATTCAAATCAATCTCTGCATTTGGAAGAAGAAAAATGTATTCAAGTTCAAGCCAGTTCGACGGCAACGCAGCCTTCTCCGGCGGTGGATTCATGCCTTCTCAGGCCACTCAGGCTTCTGACTCTTCCGTCTTCACGTCGAAGGTCTTACACTCCATTTTCCTCTTCATCATCATCACAATCAAATTTTACCTTAACTTACGTAACACCAACACTATTTATATGTGCTCTAGGGTTTAGGGTTTTGGACTCTCACTTGCTCTTCTTTTAATTGCTACTGTTTTTGGAAAGTAAAATGGAATTCATATATGGATTTATTTTTCTTTTGTAGAGTCGCGATGCTCAGCCTCTGCTTCCTCTGACGGTGAAGCAGATAAACGATGCGGTTCAGTCAACTGATGACAAAATCAATTTGATTATTGATGGTGTGGATGTTAACAATGTGTGTGTTCCTTCAACATTGGCTTATTAATTGGTTATGATTTGTGCGTTCTATTGTTCTGACAATTTGAGTTCAGATTACTCTTGTAGGAAGGGTATGCAACAAGGCTGGGCGAATTACTGATGTTACTTTTGTGCTTGATGATGGTACTGGCAGGATTGATTGCATTAAATGGTGATTGTTTTTGAATTTGTCTTATCTTGTCTGCATTATTGTTTTATTTTTTTTTTGAGTGATGAGTTCTTGTTATGCGCAGGCTTCAGGAAGCTATTGAAACTAATGAAGCGGAGGGTATCACGTATGCTACTGTATTGCGTTTCCTACTACTTAGATCTTTTCATTTTGCATTTAACACTTGAGGGGACAAAGATCTGCAGTAACATTATCAGTAGAGGGATCTTAGCCTTTAAAATAGATTTTTTTATTTAAAAAATAATAAATGTCACAACGAATGGTAAGGATTAAAACTGGAGTTGGTGCAGTGGAAAATCCACTGCAAAAGATCTCAATTTCACTTGAGGAGTACTAGCAACACGCTTTTTTAATACACTTTATGAAGTTATGAATGTGACTCATTAAATTAGGGATGAGACGTACATTATTTTGTGATTGTTAGCGAATTTCAATTGGTAGATAAGAATATTTCAAAGAGTGTATTTGCTAACATTTCTCTATAACACTATGTTTTACTTGATCGGTTTTTATACTTTTATCTGTCGGTATAGAGAAGAATGGCTAGACATGTTGCTTATTTTAATAATATTTTCCTGCTTTTCATCAGATTCTCCTTAATACTATAAATTTTACTGAGTTAATTGAGAAAGGAAATGAAAATTTTCAAATTACATGTTACTGCTGAAGTATATATTATTTCATAAAAGAAAAAGGAAACAGAAGCATATGGTATGGTAAGCTTTATTTTGTCTTTCTATTATTTTTATTAATATCTTGTGGGAATATACAAAAACACACACAACTGATCATTTTGGACTGAGGTGTGGTTTGTAGTGTAGTTGTTGCCACCTCTGTATTTTCTTCTTTTTATTTCAGACAAAATTAATTTCGTACAGTATGTACTGATATTCTAGTTTCATTATTAGGGATGGAATGTATGTGAGGCTCCATGGACACTTGAAAGGTTTTCAGGGTAAAAGGACCTTAAATGTTTTCTCTTTCAGGTATGACATAAAGTTTACCTTTCAATTTGTATTTTTAGAGTTTAATATTTTAAAATTGTCTTGGATATCTATAATTTGCACAACGATTACTGAGGCTAGTTATCCTGTTGTCTTAGTGATATGTGAATGATGGGGAGGTCCTGTTATTTTGCTTGCAGTTCAGTACTTTACTTCACCCCCTTGTGTCATTTTCAGGCCCGTGACTGACTTTAATGAGATTGCCCACCATTTCATTGATTGCATATATGTCCATCTATATAATTCCAGGTTACGGGTATTAGTTATGGAATTTCAAATTTTACGTTTGATTTTGACATGATATGATGCGTATATATTGTTATGAATTTAACGATATGTGTGTGTGTATTCTAACGTTTCATGTGGTAACATCTTCAGACTGGTGTCCCTAATCAGCAATATGTTACTAATTCGGCACCAATTACTCCCACAAAAGTTTATCAAGCTCAAGCTGTTCTACCAAATCAAGTCAGAAAGTGAACCATACTTTTTCTGTTTTTACTTTATTTTTATTCAATATCCTCACTGGTTTTTCTTTGCAGTTCTCTGGTCAACATATCAATGGCCAGAAGAGTGTTGAAGATATGGTCTTAGATGTTTTGCATCTTCCCACAAACAGGTTTTTTTCCTTAGTGATTTTGTTAATGTTATTTGTTTGTCTCTTGTTGAAACATGTAGCTTACTCCCTTCTTGGTGCATTTGTTTTATCCTGAATGTTGGATTATCCTTGTGATTTTGTAAGTTACATGCATGCCTGTCCATACATGCCTTTTGTTAACATTACGACACCTAAGCATTGTCTGCTGTAGAAGTAGAATAAGAAATTTTCTAGTTGTTTGATTTGGTGAAAGGTTGTAAAAGGATTTTTTTAATTAATCTGGAGAGTTAAAGTGCATGTTAAGGAATGGTGCATCCCTAGTTACTTTGTGGCACATAAATTAGTAAATTGTCATCTTGGCCCTAGAATGTGAATCAGCAGAGTTACTTTGTGGCATGATCTGTGTTGGTATCCATGAGTTTCAGGGTGGTGAAAAATGTATCCTTATATTCGCCTTCCTGTTATGGCTGAATGTTTTTTCCCAAGAATGTCAGATGTTCTCCGTTAATTTTTTTAACAAAATAGAATCTTCCATGAGTCAACTAGAACATTTTCAATGGCACAGAATTAAACAGTAAAACGACTAATACTTTAACAGTTCTTGATTACATATTTCAAGGTTAATTCAATCGTATCAAACCATCACACAATCTTACTTATAAAATAGTTTGCACTTATTTTTCTTTATATGTTGAATGTTTTCTGGTATTCACAACGTAAACATTCTGATATTGATGTTTCAGGGCAAGGGTTGAGGGAGTCCCTCGTGATCTTATTGCACAGCATCTTCGAATTTCTTTGGATAAAATCACGTCTCTCCTTGCTCTGCTTCTCTCTCTCTCTTTCTCTCTCTCTCTAACGGGATCCAACTTTTGTTGACTCTGATTCTGGTTCTGCAGGCTGGCTATTAAAAATCTTATTGAGGAAGGTGCCATTTATGAAGCTATAGATGATCACTATAAATCAATCATCAATGGTTGACATGCGTAACTTTTTCTGTATTCAAGTGATGTTACATATAAGCAGAGCAGCAGTTGTCCTAGATTTTGAAATACTTTTCACATGATAACTATATATTATTAGGATTATGAACTGGTAACAAATATAACATGATATGGAATGTATCTATTTTGCAACTGATTTTTGTCAGACTGAATAAGATTAAACTGTTTTAAGGGCTCATCGTAACTCTAGTCAACAGTAGCACGTAGTTTTATTTTTGGTAAACATGGCGCGTGGTTATCTTGTAATAATGATTTATTTTTTTTGGGATGCCGTAGAGTGAGATTAATGGGCTTAATTCAAAATGGTTCTCTAGAAGTATTTGTTAGGATTCGTAATCGGGCCGAGTATTGGGCCTTGATAACTACGGTTCTCAAATAAGTTCGTTGGCCTGCTTATTACCAAATTGGTGACAATTTCGGGATAGGATGCGTCTAGTCCTATAGCTTATAAGCATGCACAATGGTATGTAAAAAAATCGATAGTCAAAGCCATGTGCACGTGAGACGCATAGATATACTTTTATTTTGAAGTGTATAAAATAAGAGACCTAGAGAAAAAAAAGTATGCACTGAAGGCAGAGGACACGGGTGCTGGCTGAAGTGGTATCTGTGATGTTCAAAGATACAAGGTTTTGTTCGCTTCCAGTAATTTTGTTACATCAAGAAGTAATAAAGTACAATAATAGAACACATATTAAACTAAGAATCAATAGAAAATTAGAAGCTGTTGAACTTGTGACTGTAAATCATAAATATATAAGGATGCACATTATAAAGTGCAAGTGGAAGATGACAATTGCGCGAGCATCACGTGCATTTTCACTCCAGCACCACTTCCACCGCCCTCTTCGTCTTGTGCCTGAAACCGCACGTGGAAGCAGAGTCTTTGTGGCCAAGTCACGTGCTGTGGTGGTGAATCATTTTTCCATAGGCGGTAGACCTCTCAAGACGCCACGTGCGATCTCGTTTCTAGGTTTGACCCCTCATGTGGGTGCACCGTTTTTGCTCTTCTCCCTTAATTATAACTTTTTAAGTTTTTTATTTAATATGAAAAAGTTTGTCTAAATACGGAGATGCTCACGCTGAATCCAAGCATACGTACTACATTGTTAGTCTGTTAGCATATATAATAAATTCTATAAAAAAAAATTAGAAAAACGCCAAAAGAAAATATTTTTTGGCTTAAAAAGAATGGGGCACTAGCAACCCTCTGATACACTTGTGAGAGCTCTTCTTTTGTAATAGAATCATGATCAACCACACGTATTGTGAATCCTTAGTTGGGCCCACATTTATTTATGTCTGAAATCATATATGATCAGACAGGACCTTTCTCCGAACCAAGAATGTAAGAAGAATAATTTAAACAACACAACCAAAATAAAAGAGAATTGGGAAACTAAAATACAAAGAGATGAGTGTGAGGGATGATGAAGAAGTAATAATTATAATAATGAAACAGAAATTAAGATATGGGCAGCGAACGTGAGGAATGATTCGTTTCTCTGACCACAAACTACTCTATGCAATGGCTTTCTAAAACAAAGTTTGACCGTTTTGGCAAAGCATTTGGCCTTGAATTAAAGAAAAGGGGTTTTAGAAGCCAGCTGCCCCCATTGCTTACTTTTTGTTGCAAAATCTGCATGTTAGTGGGTGTTTTTTAAGTCCACAATTATTAGTTTACCCTTTAAACTTAGTCCTTTTCTTTTTACTGCAGATTTGAAGGGAATCACCCCTCAAATGCGAACACATTCCCGCCGAACTCTCTGCCAATCTCTAACCCTTTACTTTTTCTTTATTCCTTACAAATAACTTGAGCATTATGCAACCTTTTGTGTTTGTTTTTTAAGGCATTTTATCTTTCTGCATTCTGATTGCTTAGTGTAAAAGCATTTTTAACTCTTATCCGGGTTTTGAGGACTTGCCTGTCTGCTGCCTACATTTTGAGTAAATTCAATTGTTTTCCATTCCACTACCTAATCTCTATTCCTATGTTCCTCTTTTGTCTCTCTCTCACATGTGCAATGTGAACGTATGCTTTGCTTGGCTTGCAATTTGGGTTGGTGATTGGTGGTGCTGTAGCTGAGTCACTATAAGACACCTTCTCTGTTAACCATTGAGACAAGTGTCCGCATGGTCCGGGGTCAAAGTGTCCTTTCCGGAGCCAGCCACCATATTTCTTGCTTAATCCTGCTTCTCTTATTCTATTACTCCGATCCATCCATATCCTTATACACAATTATTTCAAGATAAACTTCAGATTTTTTAACTGTAATTTTTTATAAGAAAACCTAAATATATTTTTCTATTTACTAATCCCTTATTTAAATTCTTTCATTTCACAAGGGACGTGAATCTTGACATCGCTGTCTTAATCTCAATTTTCACTCACTGCTTGGCGAATGGCCATGTCCAAGGGACGTTTATGTCCTCATCAAATGTATGTCAAGTTAATCCTATATTACATTTTATTTTATTTTATTTAGAAAAATAATTATACCAACCAAATAGTTTAATTTTTTATTATAATTATTTGATAAAAATTATTTTACTTTTATTATTGAATCTCTTTTAAATTTTGAAGAATGGTAGAAGTAGATTCGTTTGAACAAACTATTTAACCTATTTTATATATGATTAATCAATTTTTTAAAAAGTTAAAATATTTTAAGATAAATACTTCTAATTTTTAAAATTGAATAATCATAAATAGTATATTAAAAGAACGTGTATACAATAATATATTGCTGACATTTTTTACAATACTCATTATCCTCTGTAATAACTATATTAATAGTAGGGATATTTTATAAAAACGTTACTTAAATAGGAATATTAATAAACGCATGAGAGTGATAATAGACACTCAAAATATATTAATAAAAATATAACAATTAACATTAAATTCTTACATCAACAGACAAATATATACAATGTTTTCTTCTTTCTCTAGACAAATACAAACAAAAGTAGCATTTCACAAGAAAAACAGTTTTTAATAACACAATCTTTTAAATAAAATTTTCAATAAGCTTTATATATGCTTCTTATTTTAAAAAAATAAATAAAGTACATGTCCTCTAAATTTATATTTTTAAAAAATTAATCGATCATAAACGATTATGATGTGTTAAAAAAAAAAAAGAAGCGTGATTGGTTTAATTAACGTCATTAAATTTATTAATAAATAGGCATATTTTTAAATTACCTTATTGAGACTCATTATTTTACCCTCTTTTTATTTAATTAATCATTTTACCCTTCCTAAAAACATTTCTATAAAAAATTAATTAATGCAAAAAATAGTTTACTGAAAGTCTTATAAAAATATTATGACAATTTCTTTAAAAAAACTCATAAAAATTAACGGTGATATGCGGTTGAGCCTTTTATTAACACTTATATCATTTTGTTATTTATGTAATATTAGGTCAAGTTTATGTATATTTTATTAAATAATGTCTATTGCACTTCTCATTCAATAATTTTTACTTATCATTTATTTTATTACGGCTTCTAATCTAATTAGTACCACAAAATTACATGCAACATACGAAAAAAAAAAGTTTCAAATAATTTATTGTCGGTATTAATAAACAAAAATCACCAGTACCAATCACATTTCAAGGGTTTACAGTTGCACATTAAAAACATATTTACAGAGTTTTCTTCTTTAGCCGAACACTTTTAGGAGGATTATTTTCCAACGGTCAAAGTAAATATAAAGGCTACGAGTATCTAGGATTTGTTTAATTCACGTTATTTTTAAAAAATAATCGTTTACTTTTAACAGTTTTATAAAAAAATTAAAAATAAACTATTTTCTCTAAGAAAAAGTTATTCTAACATGGATTTAGGGTATGTTTTAGTAAGTCATTTATTTAAGTTTTTAATAAATTTTTATATATAATATAATAATACATAAATTATTTTAATCAGAAAATTTATTCAAATAAATTAAAAAATAGTTCATTACTTACTGGCAGTGATGCGATGGTGCTTCACTCCAACTAATATCATTACTTACTGTTCTTAAATTGGACCACGTTGATTTAATGGCACCACTGTGCTGGTGCTTCACACTAACTTTCAGTCGTCCCATCAAACTTGCAGCACTTATTTCATGGCCTTGTCTCCGAAAAAAAAGAATGAGTTGATCCTTCTGTCTATTGAAGTAGACACAGTAACAAGACCCTCCTTGATGAGTAGGATTTTCTTCTGTTTTTGTAACATCCAACAAAGGTAAGAAATTGAACTTATAAGATTTATAAATTACTTACATTTTTTACCATCCTTTCTCATCAACTTTTGAAAGCTGATGGCCAAATTAACAGGATACATTAAAGAAAAACTACCTAGATACACGTCAATAGAAAAAAATGATGTAAAAAACAATTTTACATAAATATATTTTCATTCACCTTTTTTCTCTTTTTTGACTTAAGAAGAAGAAGAAATGTTTATAATTTTTTTTTCTGAATCCAAAATCTCCATTTTCTATTATTTCCTCTCCAAGTTGGAACAATGAATAACCGTAATTTACAATTTGAGGAGCCATCGATGGGTTTGAGGTAGGCTTAACTAAGTATTTATATATAGGCAAGTTATGTCGAGATGTCGAACTCACGATGAGGCTTTGGTGAAATGGAAATTTTATTTGATGGAAAAGGTGGAGCCAAGTCCCAGGACGCAGTGTTTGCTTCTTCAACAACGTAGAAAGCTGTTTAAGCGTGACTGAATAGTGAGATATACTATTTTTTTTAGCTTTTGCAAGAAGGGTTAACGCTGTTGCAGACAATTAGGGCAGTGTTGATTTCCTTCATGCTCTTGGGCTAACATGGCTCTACTTGAATCTCCTCCTGAGTTAAATTCTCT